CTCTTGAGGTGTGTCTTCTTTGGTGCATTTGAATGTCCTTGTGACCTCTTCTCCAAAGGGTCACCTCCTCCATTGTCCCCTTCACGTCGAGGTGTGAAGCTGCAGCTGTAACCTGAAACCTCTCTGTCCTAGCTGTCCCTCAAATTCCAATGCACTCAATGCAGATACAGTGGCTTTATGCCTCAATGAGTGAACCCAACAAAGCATACATCGTTTAAGTCTTCATCTTATAACTAGTACACTTTCATTACAACAACCCATCATTAATGATCACCGTTCATCACATTTCATCATAAGATCTAAAACAGTTCATGTGGTTCAATTCTGAAGACATTTGCCTCAGTCGGCTGCCTTACATTAAGTTGTTCATTTATTACCTGACAGGAGAAAAAACTCCCAAAAAACCCTCTTTGGGGATAAAATTGGGAGAAATCCATAAAGAACGGCAATTGGCATCCGTCCCCAGGTTTTAACATCACATTGTGACAGAATGTTAATGTGTACAGTGTTTCTACGATTTAAAAGACTATAAACTGTGTTTGATTCACATTGTATTCACTTCATCTAACATGTTAATGTAATAACTAATATCTAATAACACACAAACTATAATTCTATCACTAAACATTATTACACGTACTACAAATTCTATGACTAGGGGTGCACTTCTGGCTTAAATCCCTAACACAGTGCAACACCGTCCTCACAGGACTCACACCGCTTCTTGTCGCTTTTGAATTAGAGGGGCGTGGGGGTCGAAGTTCACAGGCAGATTTTGAGTTCAGATGGTTTGGGCATCTGGTAAGGATGTCCCCTGGGCGCCTCCCCGAGGGCAAGGCCAGCCTGGTATCTCCTATCTCCATGTTTGGTTTTTTTGAAAAGTCAGAAATTGTAAAAAGTCTTTCAGAAGAATGCAGCACTCTTGAACTTGCGAAGCTGTTGGGCCGTGATCACAGAACAATAAACGTTTCGTTGCAAATACTCCAAAGGGTCGCAAGAAAAGTGTGGAGAAAAAAAGGTGCAAATTAAGGATTTGAGAAGAATCAAACGTGATCCAGCAGGAACCCATTTTCCTCCAGTGCTGCCATATTACAGAACTGCAACTTACCTGAGTGCCCAGCAGTACCAGGTGTTCAGCTCGGAGACATGGCCAAGGTGAGGAAGGCTGAAGCCCGACCACCACTGAACAAGACACAGAGGTTGAAAGGTCAAGAGTGATGAGATGAGGGTGACTCTAGACCATATATGTCAAACTCAAGGCCCGCGGGCCATATCCGGCCCGGCATGCAATTATATCTGGCCCGCGAGATCATTTTATATTATTGTTACCAATGGCCCGACGATATGAAGCGCTGATAACAAAATAAACTACAGATCCCATAATGCAGCGCTTCAGCTGCCTTGCCGAGCGCTTTCCGTGGCGTTTCTGGCTGACATAACCGCACGTCTCAATGACTTAAACCTCCAGCTCCAGGGACGCAACCGCATGATCACTGACATGTATGACGCAGTGAAGGCATTTCAAGTGAAGCTGATTTTATGGGAGACACAAATGCACCGGTGCAACTCGCCCCACTTTCCCTGTTGCCAAGTAATGCGGCATAGCGGTGTTCCCAAATACGCACGTTGCTGATAAACTGAGCGCACTGCGCACGGAGTTCGCACGGCGCTTTGGTGATTTTGAGGAAAAAAAAAAGAATTTTGAGTTGTTTCGCAACCCATTTGCTGTCGACGTGGAAACTGCACCTGTGCAGATTCAGATGGAGCTGATTGAGCTGCAGTGTGATGGGACACTAAAGACAAAGTACGACACTGTTTATTCACTCCAGTCCCGCAACAATGTCCCAGCTCCGTCTACATGCGGCTCGAACCTTGTGCGTGTTTGGTAGCACATATCTGCGTGAGAAGCTGTTCTCAGTGATGAAGACAAACAAAACAGCACACAGAAGTCGTCTCACTGATGAGCACCTTCAGTCCATCCTGAGAGTCTCCACAACACGGGACCTCGCGCCAAACATAAACCAACTTTGCCAAAAAAAGATGCAAAGCATCCAGCTCTGATAAAATGGCATAAGAGCAAAGAAAACTGAATGTTTTGCATCGTTATTTGTTATTTCTGAAAAGCACAAATTTTATTTATAGTTCCAGGTTTTGTTTTGTTTTGCAGCATGTTCATATTTCTAACTTGTATAATTTTGACTGGATATATTTTTATGGAGAGCAAGATATTTTAAGTTAAGTTTAAGTTTATTTATTGCAGAATAACATTCCTGTCTGTTTGTATTTATATTTATGTTAAAAGAAAATTTTAGTTTTAGTGTGTTCAATAAATGTTTATTCTGTTCGGCCCGCGACCTGAAGTGTGTTTTGAATTTTGGCCCCGTGTGCAATTGAGTTTGACACCCCTGCTCTAGACGGACCAGATGGACGGGCCCGTGGCTGGATCAGTAACGGGTACAGAGCTCCACTTCCACTCAGACGCCAGCAAGCTGGAGGTGGGGATCTATGGGCTGGTATTATTAAAGACGGGCTAGTTGGACTTTTGGGGTTGAACATGGACTAAAAATCCCAAACCCACTGCCAGTTTTTAGAAGACACTTTCTTTAAGCAGTGGTACAGGAAACGGTCGGTGTCTTTTAAGAAGACAATGATTTTAGTGACAAGACAATTCCCCATCACATGCATCGCAATACTGCGCTGTGTGGTCAGCCAGGCCTTAAAGGTGAAGAAATAATGACATGGCTCCCTTCCACTTCTCAAACAGTAGACATACAGAGAAGGAAGTCCACGTCTCTGGGCGTGTCTGGAGGCTGGTTGCTGCTGCACAGAACGTCGATCGTCAACCGATCAAGAAGCTGACCGACTCCATGAAAGGCAGGCGTCTTACTGTTATTGAAAAGAAGGGGGCTATATTGGTGACTGATTTTTTTTTTTTTAAATGTCTAGTTTTATTTGTACATTTTGAGTTGTTTGTTTATTATTCTCACTTTAACCGATGGAAATAAACAAGTGAGATGGGAAATCTTTTGTTTTTCATTTAATTGTGCACACTAATTGTGCACACATAGACAAAACCTCACTTTTACTTTCTAAAATATTCAGGTTTGGGGTTTGATGTTATTTTGGATTGACCGAGACCACTGTAGTTGTTCAATAATACAAATAATCCTCAAATACAACTTGCCTAATAATTGAGCTCACAGTAGTATTGCGCTGCTTTACGGCCAATAGGAATATAATGTGTTTTTCCTGACGTCAGTCAGTCGTCCTGCTGCTGCCTTTAAACGCAGCGCTGATACTTGATCTGGTGAATAGATCGACCACAACGAGATCCAGATATTCCCAACCGGGCTTCCAATTTTGATCACGCGGTCAATAACCACAAAACGTCTCTGAAGAATCAAGCGCGTGACGTCACGCACGCTGCGACCGTGTTTGGCGCAGCTCGCGCAGGGAGCCCGGCGTTACGTCAGTCACCGACACGGTGCTACGTCACCCCCCGTGTACTCCTCCTTCATCCACGGACAGCCTTCACCGCCCGGTTTGTTGTCACGGCACGTCCTACGTCACTGGTAGACGGACAGAGACGTGACGTCACCTTGAGATAACGCAGCACGCGGAAGCTGGTCCGACCCCCTGCGGACAGCGGATCAGGAGACCACAGGTAACGCAGACAAAACCGACCGCTGTCACCTCCCGTCGCCCCACACGCAGCACCGATAACCGGGGAGCTCAGCCCGCGAGGCTGCGGGGGGTCGGGGGGAGGAATCGAACCTTTGTGTTTGTCTAACCGGGAAACAGCACCATCGATCAAGAGCGTGACTTTAACGATGACGTCCACGTGCACGCGCAATGCAGGGGCGTCCGTTACAATTTCATTAAAGACATTTGTAAATAATAAAGCATTACATCGTCACTTTACTGGGAAGCAATACGTTTGATGTGCGCGTGCGTGGACAATAAATTGATGCGATACCGACTGAAGGGCACCCGAACACACGCATTATTTTGATTACACACACACGCACACACACACACACATGATTAGATCATTTGGAGACGGTATTACTGCGTGCGTGTCTGCAGCGAGATGCCGTCTCTGTCGGAGCAGCTGCAGGAGGTGCGCAGCCGGGCGGAGGTGTGTCTGTACTCCGGCGGCCGGGCGGGGGAGGTGCGGGTCGGGGTGGTGGCCATGGCGAAGCTACCCCTCCCGCCCGGCTTCAAATACCGCCACATCGCTGCAGAGACCATGGTGGTGGACAACAGCGTGGGCAGCAACAGGAAGGAGGTGAGAGGGAGCGAGGACGCAGACTGGACCCCCCCCCCCTCCCTGGAAACATCTGTATGACGTCCACAACGAGGTTTCACGTGTTTCCACGAGTCCTTTTGATTACCTAAAGACAGAGTTGCAACATTTGAATCCATCTCAAATAAGTGCAACGCTACTTAAGTAAACAGCGACAGCGCAGACAATAACATTCATTTAAGTTCCACCGTTTTAAAAAGTGTCAATCAGTTATATATCATCACATGCATGATATTGGGATTATACATCTACTGCCTTAGCCCACTCTATACAGTCACACTTTGTGCACCCTTTTGGTTGTGTGGACTGGAGGAATCCACCTTACTAACAATCCACTGTACGATTAGTCTTTCACAATACTCTGGGGTCATTAATATGATCTTACGTCTTTCATTTTCTGCGTTTCTTCCCCAGACCCTCGCATCTCTCCAGCGCTTGTCTACAGCATTGAACATCCTAGAGAAGTATGGCTGTAATCTGACAAATCCCAACAGGCCAAAGTACTGGAGGACAGTGAAACACAACAACCCGGTGTTCAGGGCCACTGTTGACGCTATTCAGGTAACATCATAAGTGCTCAGTACAGCCCTAGCGCAGTAATTCAAAGAGCCCACTTAATAAATATGAATGTACAGGCCTTCATTGCATATTGATTCCCCATGTAGACCGACAGTACTCCTGTAGGAAGAACCCGGGGAGGTGCACCTTCATATTCATGTGTTGAGGTCACACTACATCCCTTTTGCTCTTTCTGAACCCAGGGAGGACGAGCAGTGCTCTGTCTCTATGGCTACTCCAATCAGCTGGCAGACGGGCTCAGTTTCCCTGATGATGTCACAGATCCTGATGTGGGCTGCGTTGCTGCGGTAACGTTAGAAGTGATGAGTCTGAGGATTGAGCTGGAAATGCTTATTAAGGTGTGTGTGTGTGTGTTATGCATTGCTATTGAGTTACAGGGACAGGGATTAAGTACGGTGGCCCTGAAGTGTAAAACACAGATGGATTTGAGACACTTGAGAGGGTCCAGCAGGGTCCGTCCTCTGCTATAAGGCCCTGCCCTTTCCGTAAGAAGTTTATGTCGTTGTGTTTTCCTATTTGCCGTTGTGTTTTGCACTTCAGGGCCATCCTAATTAAGTTACACTTTGATGATTCCTCTGCATCTTCTATCTCCAGCAATAGAATGGACATTCCATATTATTCTGCATTTCTTTGCTGTCCTCAGTTTGCTCTAGAGCCACATCGCCTCATAAACTGCTTTATTCTGGTATTCCTGTGCATATACAAACTGCAGTAATGATAATTCATTGGGTCTGATCACAGGAAGCTCATCCACACCCTGACTTCTACGAGAGAATCCTTCCTACGCTGAGACACAAGGTAGAGTCCCTCACACTACCGTCATAGCTCTCTCCAGTTACGTGTTTCACTAAAAGAATGTGTTTTGTTTGGATCGGATTATGGGATATATCGATGGCGAATCCCATGGGCAGAACAATCCAACCAGCAATAACAGTCAAAATAATTAGTCTCTTCTGCAAATATTTAAATTGAGACTGACAGGGAACTCAGTTCAAAATGCTTAACATGACATCATCAACCAAATGTCATCTCACTTCATTGCAACCAGACTGAAAACCTTTTTCCAGTTACATACGTAAGGCTTGCTTTATAGATGAGTAACGATGACCCGTAGTGCCGATTCTCCGAGTCAGCTTTTGCCCTCTCTTCTCTCTAGGATGTGGGTCTCAACACTGATGCTGTGATCTGCCACTTCTCCTCCTCTTCAAGCCACTCAGGCGGTCAGACCAAGTCACTGGCCCTCCCGCTCCACCGTCACTCCTCCAGGGAGAGGAGTGGTGGGAAGTCCTTGTCCTCCAACCACCAAAGTCTCAAGTCCACCCCCATCTCCTCCAGCAAGCACCCAGGTGAGGACAGAAGACACCTTCACAACATTGACATTTCTCCATCTTCTAGCTCTTCTTAGGCCAGAGTTTCAGTGACAGAAAGTTCATCCAATCCCCCATCAAGGACTTTTTGAAAGTGCCCTTCGTTTTGAGTTACCAAGGTAACTCGTGGCCCAAAATACCAAAAATGTAGTTTGCCTCAGAGGGCTTTATAGTCTGTACTGTTGATGTGACATCGTCTGTCCCGAAACTCCCCCAAGGATAAAAATAACCTTCAACAGGGAAAAAGATACCTTAGGGAGAACAACGAGTTTACCCCGGTGGACAAAAGGGGTCGCCTCCCAACGCCTTCGGGTGGTGGGGGGTGGGGGGGGACTCTGACTGTTGTCTGTGCATACTGTATGCACCAAACAGCAGCTCAGAGTATTCAGCCTTTTTGGAGACCCTGAATGGAGTCCTGCATGGGGCTCCAGTAGGGGACTCCATAGTCCTACTGGGAGACTTCAATGCGCACGTGGGCGACGATGGAGATAACTGGAGAGGAGTGATTGGGAGGACTAGCCTCCCTAATATGAACCCGAGCAGCTGTTTGTTATTGGACTTCTGTGACAGTCACGGATTGTCCATTACAAACACCATGTTCGAACATAAGGATGTTCATAAGTGTATGTGGTACCAGAACACTTTAGGCCAAAGATCAATGATCGATTTTGTAATCGTATCGTCTGATCTGAGGCCGCATGTTCTGCTGGACACTCGGGTAAAGAGAGGGGAAGAGCTGTCAACTGATCACCCATCTGGGTTGTGAGCTGGGTCAGAGGATGGGAGAAGACTCGGGACAGACCCGGTAAACCCAAGCGTGTTGTGAGGGGTGAACTGGGCACATCTGGAGGAGGCCCAAAAGATTTTCAACTCATACCTCCGGCGGAGCTTCTCTCACATTCCTGTGGAGGTAGGGGACATTGAACCAGAGTGGTGTACAGTATGTTCAAAATTTCCATTGCTGAAGCCGCGGCAGTGAGTTGTGGCCTCAAGGTCTTAGGTGCATCAAGGGGCAGTAACCCTCGAACCCTGTGGTGGACACCGGTGGTCAGGGAAGCTGTCCGACTGAAGAAGGAGGCCTTCCGGGTAGTGATATCCGGTGGGACTCCGGAGGCAGTTGCAGTGTACCGACAGGCTCGAAGGGCAGCAGCCTCTGCCGTGATGGAGGCAAAGCAGCGAGTACGGGAGGAGTTCGGGGTAACTATGGAGAAGGACTTTCGGTCGGCACCAAAGTGCTTCTGGAAGACCATCCGGCACCTCAAGAGGGGGAAACGGGGAACCATTCCAGCTGTGTACAGTAAGGATGGGAACCTGTTGACCGCGAATGAGGAGGTTATGGGGCGGTGGAAGGAACACTTTGAGGAACTGACAAGATGGCGCTAGTGTGCATGGCAAGCCGTCTGTCTCCGTTTCGTGTGCTTAGTCTATTGTTTGCTATCGCTCTATTTATCTGTACATTCTGTCAAGATGTCTCTGCTTTACTAGTTTATGATCGCCAAGCACTTATCAACATTCGACTAGCTGCTGACTCATTGTCTGAAAGACATGTTTTGGGAGATCACTCGACCTCGAGGATTCCTCCTCTGCTGTCGGATATACCTGAGCACCTGCGCCTCTCACATGCTGCCCTTCCCCGTAAGAAACGCTACAGGCGACGGGGAAAGCGCGGAGGTGTGCTGGTCAGATTCAAGACTTACTTGGCGCTCACCTGTGTGACGTGCCCTGATGGATGCTACGTTCCTGCTGCCGGGCGCTTGCTGGGGATGAGAGACCGCTGGCTTCGTCCCATTGTCCCTGGCCCACAGGTTATCTCTGAGGCCCACCTTCTCCTGACGGCACCACGGACCGAGCCAGCACTTGGATCTTCTCCCAGGTACGCTCGGTTCCGCCGAGGTGGTGTGGATTTTTCTAACCCGCGCCCGCTGGATCGTGCCGCGCCTCCAGCCAGTGAGGATCAAACTTTTCGCCTGGCTTTGTTTAATGCTAGATCGCTAGCCAACAAGACTTTTCTCCTCAATGACTTCTTCACTTCTCGTGAGTTGGATTTTATGTTCTTAACAGAAACCTGGCTTCGCGATGGCGAGCTCACGCCTTTTTCTGAACTTTTGCCTCCCCGATGTGGCTTCCTTAGCTCCCCTCGGACCACAGGTAGAGGTGGAGGATTGGCCGCTGTGTTCAAGTGTGCTTTTCCATGTCGGGAGATTTCGTTTGACAGCTGCTCCAGCTTTGAGCTGCAGCTGTTTGAGGCACATCTTCCAGTGATTGTTTTATGTGCTGTGGTTTATCGACCTCCAAAGTTTAATAAGGATTTCATTCAGGACTTTGCAGACTTTGTCGCCGGAATTGCCTTGAAATATGATCGCTTTTTGATCGTTGGTGATTTCAATATACATGTTTGCTGCGAATCCAGGCCAATGTCTAAGGATTTTCTCGATCTTATTGACTCTTTCAGTCTCACGCAGTCTGTTACTGGCCCGACTCACGAAAAAGGACATACGTTGGACCTTGTACTGTCATATGGCTTAGATGTTGCCATTAGTGAAATATGCGACACATGCATTTCAGATCACCTACCCGTTGTATTTACTATGGTTGTCCCCTGCTCGGACACTTTGTCTGTTTCCCCTGCGTGCTGTGTCCGTGCAATTAACCCTCAAACCGCTTCACAGTTTTCTGCTACTTTTAAAAACTCAGTGCTTTACAATCTTGGTGATTTTCTTAATGTGGAGGAACTCGTCAGCATCTTTGACGCTACTTGTACTGAGATACTTAACTCTGTTGCCCCACTGAGGGAGAAACGCATAAAACCTCAAAAAGAACCTTGGCTGAATGTAAATACCCGCTCTCTCAGACGGGCTTGCAGAACAGCTGAGAGAAAGTGGAAGAAGGACAAACTCCAAGTGTCACTTCAAATCTTAAAAGATTTATTACATAAATACCAGGGAGCAGTTAAATCTGCTAAAACTCATTATTTATCTCACCTGGTTGCTAGTAACACCCAGAGGCCTCAAGTTATTTTTAAAATGTTTAACTCACTTATTAATCCTTGTGAAAATGACTGTGCTGTGCCATCCACATTGTTATGTGAAAACTTCCTGAAACATTTCATAGATAAAATTGCTGGCCTGAGCTTTTCATCCCCTGTTTCTTCCGATGGCCCCTCTGTTACTTTTTCATGCCCAGCTGTCTTTCAGCAGTTTGAGCCAGTTTCACTAAACCTTCTTTCTGACATAGTCAAACAGCTTCGTCCAACTAACTGCCTACTGGATTGTATCCCTGCACGCTTACTTAAAGATGTTTTTAACACTGTTGGGTCCAGTATTTTATCCTTGGTTAACTCATCTCTCAGCTCAGGGTGTGTTCCAGCCGCTTTTAAACATGCTGTTGTGCAACCACTCTTAAAAAAGAAAAATCTGGATCCGTTAGTTTTGTCTAACTTTAGACCTATTTCTAAATTACCTTTTTTTATCCAAGGTCTTGGAGAAGGTGGTTTTTAATCAACTTCAATCATTTTTAGATGATTTTAGTATTCATGAAAAGTTTCAGTCTGGCTTTAAGCCCCGCCACAGCACTGAAACTGCCCTTCTAAGAGTCTACAACGACCTCCTCTTAGCTGTAGATTCAGGAAATTCTGCTGTTTTAGTGCTCTTAGATTTGACTGCTGCCTTTGACACTGTCAACCACTCTATTCTTTTATCCCGACTCAAGCAAAGTGTTGGCATTACAGGTATAGCCTTAAAATGGTTTGAATCCTACTTGACAGATAGGAGTTTTTCTGTCCACATTGGTAACTGCTCTTCATCTGTTGCCCCTCTGTCCTGTGGGGTCCCCCAAGGTTCCATTTTGGGACCAATGCTATTTTCTCTGTATATGCTGCCCTTAGGGTCCATTTTTAAAAAACACAACATCTCTTTCCATTGTTTTGCTGATGATGTGCAAATTTACTTGCCTGTAAAAAACAATAAGAAGGACACTATCAAGCCGCTGATAAACTGCTTGAGTGATCTCAAAGTATGGATGGATCAGAATTTTCTCTGTCTTAATGACAGTAAGACCGAGGTTGTTGTGTTTGGACGTGCTGAACATCTCAGTGCCTGTGTAGATACTCTCAGTATTTTAGGCTCCCAAATTCGTCCTTTTA